TGGTATGGTGAGTGTGTGGAGTGTGGTGGGGCTGTGGTTGGTGTGGTGAGTGTGTGTGTATGGGTGTGGAGTGTGTAGTGTGGGTGTGTAGTGTGGAGTGTGTGTGTGGTGTGTGGAGTGTGGTTTGTGGAGTGTGTGTGTGGAGTGTGGTGTGTGTGTGGAGTGTGTGTGGAGTGTGTGTGGAGTGTGTGTGGAGTGTGGTGTGTGGAGTGTGTGTGGAGTGTGGTGTGTGGAGTGTGGGTGTGGAGTGTGGTGTGTAGAGTGTGGGTGTAGAGTGTGGTGTGTGGAGTGTGGTGTGTAGAGTGTGGTGTGTGAGTGTGGTGTGTGAGTGGGTGTGTGGAGTGTGGTGTGTGGAGTGTGGTGTGTGGAGTGGTGTGTGGAGTGTGGTGTGTGGAGTGTGGTGTGTGGAGTGTGGTGTGTGGAGTGTGGTGTGTGGAGTGTGGTGTGTGGAGTGTGGTGTGTGGAGTGTGGTGTGTGGAGTGTGGTGTGTGGAGTGTGTGTGTGTGGAGTGTGGTGTGTGGAGTGTGGTGTGTGGAGTGTGGTGTGTGGAGTGTGGTGTGTGGAGTGTGGTGTGTGTGGAGTGTGGTGTGTGGAGTGTGTGTGGGTGTGTGTGGAGTGTGTGTGTGGAGTGTGGAGTGTGGAGTGTGGAGTGTGGAGTGTGGAGTGTGGAGTGTGGAGTGTGGAGTGTGGAGTGTGGAGTGTGTGAGTGTGGAGTGTGTACGTGTGGAGTGTGGAGTGTGTGAGTGTGGAGTGTGTACGTGTGGAGTGTGGAGTGGGTGTGGAGTGTGGAGTGTATGGAGTGTGGAGTGTGGAGTGGGAGTGTGGAGTGTGGAGTGTGGAGTGTGGGGTGTGGAGTGTGGGGTGTGGGGTGTGGAGTGTGGTGTGTGTGGAGTGTGGTGTGTGTGGAGTGTGTGTGTGTGGTGTGTAGAGTGTGTGTGTGTGGTGTGTAGAGTGTGTGTGTGTACGTGTAGGCTGTGTGTCTGTGTAGGCTGTGTGTAAGTTCTTGCATTATTTTACAAAGCAGGTTAGACCGGTACGAGTTGTGTCACACACAGCGGAGTCATCCTGCTGGGCACGCTGACAGTTGTGGTGGAATTCGGCGGGGTCGAAACGCGTTAATTTTCACTCAGAAAGGATCACTTTAAAGGCAACAAAAAAGAATGTGATGATGTGTAGGCATCGTTCGCGTGTGAAGGCGTTGCACGCGTCGCTTTGTTTTGTTTGAACGACGTCATATCTCGTTGTTCACAAAAAAAAACTCGAGAGAGCTCGTTTCAAAATATTTAAAAAATATTCGTGGGGAAAAGGCTCCCCTTCTTGACTCCGCCACCAGTTGTCACGACGCACGCGTGCCTGCTCCACGCCACCGCTGCTGTTTTGAAATAATGCGAGCATTTACGTGTGGTGAAACAAAGAGATACATAAATGTATCACACCCCCACCTCCACCCCCGCAATGCATTATGTTTGTCAACACAACCTGACTTTTTTATTCTCCTACGTCGCAATATTTTGTTGGAACTAAAGCGAGAGACGTTTAACGCGTAGGCTGCGTCACATCTACGCATCTATTTAAGGAACTAAACAGGAGCATTTTTATCGCAACTCTGGCCGTCGCCTGATGAAGCTAGTTGTAATTACTGGCGAAACGTCGTACTCGGAGTGTAAACTTGTGGTTTATTCTCCAACACACCGGTTAGTGCTGTACTAGTATACTACACTACTATGCACTACATTATACACTACACTACTATACACTACACTACTATACACTACACTACTATACACTACACTATACACTACATTATACACTACACTACTATACACTACACTATACACTACACTACTATACACTAGTGCTGTACTAGTGACGAATTGGCCACGTTCTGTTTACGTGACAGGCCTTACTAGTTGGCTGTGTCGGGTGGTGGCGGGTTTAACGACACATTTATATTTACGCGATCTAACCCATAACACCTGAATTGTGGATAAGTGAGAGGAGTAAAAAAAATGATTAAAGTTTCTCCGTGCGAGGACCATTTTATTCGGGCAATTTTTTTCCCTTCTCACCCCCCACCCGTCTTTAAATAAAATAAAAATATGTACAGATTTTCTTTGTCAATCCCTCCCTTAGGGTGAATGAAGTGTTTTCTAAAAAAAGCATATATACCGTGCTGGTCAGTGACTGGTTCAGACCAGTCCACTGTTAAAGCGCCACGAGGGTTTTTGTGCATTACAAAAAAAAATATGTGCACCTTTGTAAGTTTCAAATACATCCCCGCCGATCCCGACGATTCTCCGATACGATTAACCGCTGTTGTTGCCAATGACGATGTCGGAAAAAAGAGAGCCGTATTTGGTGCACAATTTCTGGACCAAAAAGAAAGGCACCGGGACATACTTTGAAAACGACCACCGCAAACACCACCGCATCATTCCAGTCCATTCCACCCTCGGTGCTTTCTGAGCAGTGTACATTCCTCCACTGCAGAGCTGTGGAGTGTGGGCTGGTTAGGTTGGTGGTGGTGGTTGTCTCTCTCCGCATGTGCACTGGGGCTTTGGTTGCCTGCCACAGATAGCTGGTGCGTGCGTGCGTTCATACTCACTCGTGTGTGTGCGTGTGTGTGTGTATCTCTCTTCTCTTCTCTATTCCCTCTGAGCCAGGGAAACACAGAGGTGGACAGCGATACGACGTTCGAGCTCGCCGCCTACGTCCTCCAGGTGAGATGACTTTTCCCTTCCCGCTCGTTCTCTTCACATTCCAACCTGTCGCACGAACTCATCTCGAGGTGGTGCCGGCAGACGCGGACGGGAGAGAGGTGGTGGCTGGCTGGCTGGCTGGGGGTGGGGGGTCTAGCGGGCATACAAAAGAAATAACTCGGGGTGGGAGGCGCAACGCAGTGGATGTCAAACAAACTTGAGCAAATGCTAAAAAACACACACACACGACCGCAGGATTGGTAACGAGACGGTCTTCTTTGTTGGTGTCTGCTATAGATTTGGCTGGAGAAATCTAACTCTTATTACCATCTCTCCTTGTGTGTGTGTGTGTAAAATATAAACACAGAGAGGTTACGACGCACCGTAGCTGAATTGTCACTGGTGTTAAAGGGCTCAGCCCTCGATAGAGGGGCATAGCCCTCCCTCCTCCTCCTCTCCACGCTACAGGGTGTCCGCTGATGGTTGATTTCGCTCACAGAAAATGACCGCGCGCTCCGCTGTCCGCGTGATTTGTCTTATCTCAACCCAAACCCATCGGCCGAGACGTCGTTATGCACCAGAGGTATTCGCCGCCTCTGCAACGCAAACGGTTGTGCTATTGTTGTTGGTTGTGGTGGTTGTGGTGGTGGTGGGGGGGAGCGGTGGCGCAACGGTTAGCGTGCGACGCGCTACGAAACCCGGCGACCCGAGTTCGATTCCCGCTCACGGCCGATAGCGGTGACGATTTTATCCCGAACCGGTCCTGGGCCACCCCTAGGTCGACTCAGCCTCAAATGAGCACTTGGTGTGGTGTTGGCCACCCACCCCCTCGCGTGCCACAGTGCCGTCCGTCGTAGGTGCTCGCTGACAGCACTTGCCCCAACAGTCTTTGAAGGCTAGACGGGGGATCTTTCTCTTTTTTGATAAACCGGCCCCCTCGCTCGTGGTCCGATTTCCCTGCTGAATGCGCGCATGCGGAGCAAGTTTGATGTCTCTCTTGTGTTTTACCCACAGACGTTTCGGTTTCCCCCCCTCCCCCCATCGAAATGCAACAGAATTTGTTTAAATGTGTGCCCGGTGGCTTCAGTTATTTGTATGCATCTCGTGGACGTATGCATGCCGTGGCAATTGCGTGCAAAGACAACACGAGGTCGATATTAACGAACTCACATTTGTGGGTGAAAAATGTAATCTGCATGTCCCAGCGTGCTCCGTGCTACGCGTGTGTTATTTTTCATGCACTACCTGATGCGCAGAATTGGCTTAAAAGCTGTAGCCTGCGGGTATATGTGTGTGTGCGGGGAGTGGTAGCGTCGTGGTTAGCGCACCGCGCTACAAACCCGGCGACCCGAGTTCGATTCCTGCTCACGGTCAACACCAGTGACGATTATCTGAACCGGTCCTGGGCCTCCCCTAGGTCGACTCGGCCTCAAATGAATAGTTGGTGCGGTGGGTAGTAAACATCGCCACTTGGCATGGTGTTGACCACCTCCTCGTGTGCCGCTTAACAGCACTTGCCCCAACAGTCGGCTGCAGGTTACATGGAGGACCTTTGCCCGTTATTTTGCTATCACTCATTTCTTTGTATCATAGCAGTACTTGCAATAAGATGGCTGTATGTCCACATGGCCATCGAAGTGCTCCTAGCCTGGCACAAGTCCCATGGAGACATGATTACTATGATGATTGACAGCCGCTGTTGTGTGTGCTATTGTCACGAGGTTCATCATCTCATTTACATGTAATGCCTTTCGCATTTTCAGTCACGGATCAAACTGTGTTTTTTTCCTGCGAGTGCGCGTGTGTTCGCTTGCGATAACAGCTGCACGCTGGTTGGAAATGACATTGAAAATAATAACTTCACTCGTGCTCACTGCACGAGAACAACTTCTCGTATCTAAAGAGAGAGGGGGAAAAGCGCAGCCCTGCAATTTCGCACTCAATGTCACTGTTGGTGGAAGGGCCTCGAGAGGAACTCGAGGGGAGCAATGCGACCAAAAACTCAAACTGAACCACAAACTATTATTTTACCAGGTAAGGCCTACTGAGCTATACCAGGTCTTTTTCAGAAGCGACCTGGCAATCACAAATGATGGCTCGCACGAAGTGGCTTATCTTCGTGTGGAAAGTTACAGCAGCAGCCAACGACTCTAAACGCACGTCGATTCTGAAATGTGGAGGGGGAAAAGTGCCCAGAGAAAAGTCCACGCGACCACGGGGAGAGAGAGACACGCAAACTCAAAATATAGAGCAGCAGGCGTCAGGGTCGGGATCGAACCCACGATCGAACCCTTCCTTACCAGGCGAGGTAGTTAACATCTCCTAGCCACCGTGATGATGAGAGAGAGACACGCAAACTCAAAATATACAGCAGCAGGCGTCAGGGTCAGGATCGAACCCATACCAGGCGAGGTAGTGAATATCTGGACACCGGAGCACCCCCTGTATGGGTGTTCACACTGGCTGAGCCAGTGGGGGGTGGGGTTGCACGTGCCCCCCCAATGATCCGATCGAAATCCCTAATTTAGATCGGATCATTTGGGTTTATTAGTAATACTTCGGCATTTTGCGACCCCCACTGCCACTGTGTAGCATATTATTATGTGCCAGGGACTCTATGAGATGATAGGACAATAGTCTGAGTCCATAATTGGCAATAAGTAACGGCGAAGCGGTTATAAGTGACTCACAGAATTGTGCGCAGTTGTGTATACAGGACACGACTTCCCTGAAGGCATCAACACCTTCAGCGAGCGCGATGCCGATCACACGACGCGGTTCGAATTTGACCCTCGATCGATGGCTGCGCCATCGCCGCACACGCGTCGAATAAAAAGCATAGAACAAGTCCTTACTTACTAACAACTCTATCATTTTTCATTGCTGGAGGGGTTGCCTCCCCCCCTACCTGAAAATCGTGGCTCCGCCATTGGGTGTTCACCACATTTGTGAACCCACAAAACCGCTGCCAACCCTCAACATTGTCTCAGAAACGACCGTGCACCAATAACACAATTTTTTTATTAATTCAAACTATCATCTAAATTCTAGTATCTGCAACAGTTCTCCGGAACACTCCCCCAAGGCTTTCTATACCGGAACCATCCGGAGTTCGCATTCCACTGGTTGGCAAGCAAAGGTTTGGAATGACCACGACTCTTACAGAGGTGGGGAGCGGTAGTGTAGTGGTCAGCACGCCGTGCTACAAGCCCAGCATCCCCAGTTCGATTCGCGCTCACGGCGAACACCAATGGCCATTATTTGAACCGGTTCTGGGCCTCCCCTAGGTCGACTCAACCTCAAATGAGTACCCGGTGCGGTGTGTAAACATCACCACTAGGGAGACAAAGGTGGTCAGGGCGTGGTGCTGGCCACCCATCCCGTCGTGTACCGTTCCAGCCTTCATAGGTGTTCGATAACAGCACTTGCCCCTACAGCCTGTTGAGGTTATACGGGGGGTCTTTGTATGTATGTTGTACTTCTTAGCCAACCGTGCTAATCGGAGGTGCGGGGGAAGAACCACAAACTAAACACAAGAAGCAGTTCGAAGGAATTAAGTTTATCAATCTAGATGATTTAAAATTTCTTAGCTCCAGTGGCTTCTTAATATCGGAATGGAAGAGCGTTCCAGACGGCCGCAAAAACAGCGCATTTGAGGGCCACGTGACGCAGTGACCGTCTTTGTTCGATGGCTGGGAGCCCTCGGAAGACGTTCGGAGTACCCACGCTTTACCCCACCACGCGCAACCTCCACCTTCGACTCTGGCATGCTCATCGATACTGCTGTGGCGTTCCCCGTCGACCTCTGGATCGCGAAGCATTCCGCACCTCCGATTAGCACGTTTGGCTCCGTACGGTGCGAAAGAAGTTCAACATACGTCCACCGGTCAGCAAATGCGTGCGAACGGACGCTGTCGTGCAATTGCGCGGTGCCCGTGCTCACACATGGTCAGCGAAAGTAGGAACCTGGATTCGCAGGACACTGGCCTCGTAGTCTGTGGATGTATGAATTCACATTGTGGAACGTTTAAATGATCGCGGCAAAATCTCGTTTATTGGGCGTTGTTGTTATTATTATGATTTCGCTCGTTTACCTAGGAAGCGTTCTTCTTCAGGAGGATCCCTGCCGAGATTTCACAGTAGGGGGCGATGTTGTTGCTGTTGTGTGAATCGCAATTGAATAATTTGCTGGTATGTGTCTCTTTAAAAGTTGCGATGTTTATCTGGCCCAGGGGGTTGGCAACGTGAGGCTCCGGCTCTTGAAGGGTTGCTTCATGACGTTATTCACACAACGCAGTGAAATATTCGTCTTCCTTTACCGAATTCGAAAAAAAAATTTGGCTCTTTCGCGTTATTTTGGTTGCCGAACACTGATCTGGCCTATACTGACAACATTGTATGGTTTCATATTATTGCTCTTTCGGTTAAGTTACGTAGAAGGGAAATAACAAAATAATAAAAATAAAACTATAAAATTCTCACGACGTTTCGATTGCAACACAAGCAATCATGATCAGGTGTGAAAACGACGGCAAGAATATGTGAGAATTTTATTGTTTTATTTTTATTCTTTCATTATTTCCCTTCTACGTCACTTTACCGAAAGAACCAATAATATGAATCCCTGCAGCCACGAAAGCTTTAAATCGAAAATGTATGGGGTTTTTTTTTACTATCGGAGGAAAGCAGAGACACCTAGAGGAAACCAACGCAGAACAAGGAGAGACAGCATGCAAAACAGAAAAAAACACCCCAGTCGAGAATTAAACCCAGGTGCTTCTTTGCTCTGGGGCAGCAGTGTTACCACTGCACCGCCCAGCCACCACCCAGCCACCACCACCCCACCCAGCCACCCACCCAGCCACCACCCCACCCAGCCACCACCCAGCCACCACCCAGCCACCACCCCACCCAGCACCCCACCCAGCCACCACCCCACCCAGCCACCACCCCACCCAGCCACCACCCATTGTTGCTATGGCATGAATCCTACTGAATGCTGCGAGAATAGACACGAGGTTTGTGCTCGGTTCACTCTGGAAACCGTGCACTTGTCAACTCTGTTTATAGACGGCACAGATTACGCTATCCAGACTGCATGTTTTTATACTCTTGGTTCATTCGGTAAAGTCACGTAGAAGGGAAATAATAATACAATAATAAAAATCAAACATAATAAAATACAATTCTCACGACGTTTCGGCCACAACGCAAGCAGCCGTCCTCAGGTGAAGAACAGGGCTGTCGGAAAGACAGCGTCATTCGGACGCTGTCTTTCCGACAGCCCTGTTCTTCGTTATTCGGACGCTGTCTTTCCGACAGACCTGTTCTTTACCTGAGGACGGCTACTTGCGTTGTGGCCGAAACGTCGTGAGAATTGTATTTTATTATGTTTGATTTTTATTATTGTATTATTTCCCTTCTACGTGACTTTACCGAAAGAACCAAGAAGATGAATCCCTGCAGTCACGAAAGCTTTAAATCGAAATTTAATTGCATGCTTTTTGTTTATACGTTCACGAGATAAGGATCCATCATGGATATTTTTGGGTCAGATCGCGTGAATATAGATTTGTCGTTAAACCCGCTACCACCCAACACAGCCAATTAGTAATGTTTGTATGGTAGAGTAAACCCACAACATTTATATTTATAAAACATTTACATTTGTTCATGTTTTTTATTCTACGGTTTTATAAATCTGTCTACCGCTTGACGATGCCGGCTGTAATTACTGGCCAAACGTCGTACTCAGATTGTCAATGTTGTGGATTTGCTCTCCAACACACCGGTGTGCTGTACAAGTAACGAATCGGCACGGTTTGCATACGTGACAACCCTTACTAATTGGCTGTGTCGGGTGGTGGCGGGTTTAACGACACATTTATATATTTACGCGATGCAACAAAAAAACATGCATTACGGATGAAATTTGTCGCGACAGCCTACGCGTTAAGCATTCATAAATGCTAACTGCAGCAGCAACGACGGCATCCGCACAACGCACGCTCGCCCACTCGATAATCAGCAACCGATGCCTCGACTGCCACTTGCTCTCGTCAAATTTCTATTTAAAGCTTTCGTGACTGCAGGGATTCATCTTCTTGGTTCTTTCGGTAAAGTCACGTAGAAGGGAAGTAATAAAATAATAAAAATAAAACATAATAAAATAATATGATATATTATGTTTTATTTTTATTATTTTATTACTTCCCTTCTACGTGACTTTACCGAAAGAACCAAGAAGATGCTCTCGTCAAGTTCAGAAAAGGAAAAATGGGCAGCAGTAAGCTCAAGAGCACTCTGCAGACACGCACGCTGAATTATAGACGAGTCAACAACTGCACGCAGCTCTGGCCAAGACGCTGGTGCAGGGCAACCTGTGGCGTCTCTCGCCCAGGCAGGAATGGTGGCGCGGTGGTTTAACCACCTGTGCCTCGATGCGAGAAGGGCCTGGGTTCGATTCCCGACTCGGGATAATCCCCCCCCCTTCCCCCCAGCCTCCTCCCCATAACTAAAGAAAAGCAATAGTATCAATGGTGTAGTAACAGGTTTTTACCCTTTTAATTGGCAACAAAACTGACACCTTTTTCACAAGGAGTCATGTTTGCATAGACCACAATACCTGCGGTCAAAATGCAAACAAAAAGACAACTCTGATAATGATATGCACTGTCCGTGAAATTGATTGGTCCACAACCGAGACAGCTTTTCTTAGAGCCCAGTCTCACATGGTGTTGGACCAGATGACGCCAAAAGGCGCACAACACAAAGACAACGCACCATCAGAGTATTGAGAGCTCGGGGTGAGCCATTTACATTATGAGACCTCCTTTGCCAGTAGCAAGATATAGTAATACGTTTTTACCTATGACTATTACTATATGTTGCTACTGGCAAGATATAGTAATACGTTTTTACCTATGACTATTACTATATGTTGCTACTGGCAAGATATAGTAATACGTTTTTACCTATGACTATTACTATATGTTGCTACTGGCAAGATATAGTAATACGTTTTTACCTATGACTATTACTATATGTTGCTACTGGCAAGATATAGTAATACGTTTTTACCTATGACTATTACTATATGTTGCTACTGGCAAGATATAGTAATACGTTTTTACCTATGACTATTACTATATGTTGCTACTGGCAAGATATAGTAATACGTTTTTACCTATGACTATTACCATATCTTGCTACTGGCAAAGGAGGTCTCAATGTGAATGTCAATGGCATTGGCCAAACTATCCCATTGCTCAAAAATGACATCGCAAATTAATCAACTGGGATCAGATCTTGCATGATGAGAACCTGTCAAGGTGCATGATGCGCAGAGTGTGCAGTGCACGCAGGTGGGTGCGTGCAGTTGTTATTTGTTTATTTTCAGAGTATTCGGTCGTGCTGCGGTTGAGTTTACCATTCGGGTGCTTCAAGCAGAACTGGATCGTGCGTGACGTTGGAAGGAGATTTGAAACCGAACCGAGTTCCCCATTGCGTGGGAAGCTTTAGCAGAAATATATTTTGGCACAAAATTCTGTATAGCTTCGGAGAGTGATGGGGCAAGGGCCGTTAGGTAGCAGCTGTTTCCCCACAAACCGGACAACGTTGTCTCCCCAAGTGGCGATGTTGACACCCACACGAAGCCCAGGACCGGTTCGGATAACGCTCGCCGCTGTCCTTAGCCAAATGCTGGCGATCGAACTTGGGTCGTCGGTTTCGTAGCGCAGAACGCTAACCACCGCAACACCGCTCCCCACAACAAGCTCGCAAGCACGCAAAATAAACCCCGTGTAGCCTTCATAGACTGTTGGGGCAAGTGCTGTCAGCGAGTAACACCTTTGAAGGCTGGGACGGCACACGAGGGGATGGGTGGCCAGCACCACGCCCAGCCGCCTTTGTCTCCCCCAGTGGCGATTATTACACATCGCACCAGGTACTCATTTGAGGCTGAGTCGACCTAGGGGAGGCCCAGGACCGGTTCAGATATTCGTCACTGGTGTTGGCCGTGAGCGGGAATCGAACTCGGGTCGCCGGGTTCATGGCGCAGCGCGCTAATCAATTAACAACGACAAGCACACACGTGTGTGTGCATACATATAAAGACAAAGATCCCCTGTATAGCCTGAACAGACTGTTGGGGCAAGTGCTGTTAGCGAGCACCTATGAAGGCCGGCATGGCACACAAGCGGGTGGCTGGCACCACGCCCGACCGCCTTTGTCTCCCTAGTGACAATCTTTACACACCGCACCAGGTACTCATTTGAGGTTGAGTCGACCTAGGGGAGGCCCAGGACCGGTTCAGATAATAGTCACTGAGTGTTGGCCGTGAGCGGGAATCGAAACCGGTTCGCCAGGTTCGTAGCGCAGCGCGCTATCCGCTACACTACCGCGCCCCACTACATACATACCTGCATGTACATACATGCATAGACAATAACAGAAAGGTCCTCTGTTTAACCTGTTAAACCACCGTGGGAAGTGTTGTTAGTGAGCACCTATTAATGCCAGCATGGTACACCAAGGGATAGTCTGGCTAGCAACCCCCTACTGGCCGCTTTTGTCTTCCCAGTGCGGAAATGAACCGTCGTTCATCAGATACTCATTTCAGGCTGAGGCAACCTAGAGAACGCCCAAGCCCGGTACATATTACAAAGAACCACTTTCATCGTTGTTGACCTGGATTTGAATCTGGATAGTGGGATCGTAAAGTTAACCAATATGGAAAAAATAAAATCGAGAAAACACTCCACTCCTAGGGAGACGCTCTCTCTCCTGTCGAGTGGGAGGCTCTTCTGCCAGCTGCGGAAATTTCAGGGCTGCACCTTTATCTTCATGTAAGCTTGGAACCAATCATCACGTGGACACGAGTGAGTTATTCATCTCTCACAGCTCGGTGTGTGCCCACCGCTTACCCTCAACTTGTCTCTTGTTTTCGCAGGAAGCAAAGGGCGACTTCTCAAGGTAAGGAAAGCGTCGATTCATTATATTTGCTATTTTTACATTACCAAGTAAGGCCCACTGAGCTATAGACATCACGAATGATAGCTCAACGAAGTGGCTTACCGCGTGCAAATTCATACCAGCAGCCAAATACACTAAATTGCACGTCGATTTGAAATGTGTAAGGGTAAACCCCTGGGAAAAATCCACGTGACCACGGGGAGAACACGCAAACTCCAAATATACAGCAGGCGTCAGGGGCCGGAATTGAACCCACGACCTCCTGCATACCAGGCGAGGTAGTTAACATCTCAATACGGAGAGAGAGAGAGACACGTAAATTCCAAATATACAGCAGGCGTCAGGGGCCGGAATTGAACCCACGACCTCCTACATACCAGGCGAGGTAGTTAACATCTCACCACGGAGAGCGAGAGAGAGAGACACAGACTCTAAACGTACAGCAGCAGGCATCGTCAGGGTCCGGAATCGAACCCGCGACCTCCTGCATACCAGGCGAGGTAGTTAACATATCGCCATCATTCCCATCATTCCTTGCTTTGATCAGCGGAATGAGCGCGCGTCACACGAGGCGCGCGTCGGCCTGATGAATATTTCTCACAGATCTTAAGTGGGGCCGAAAAACTAAAAAATTAACCCGTAAAACCAAAGTGTTTCACTATAAATCCTTTATATGCGTGGCGGATAGAGTCCTCTCGTCCTCTGGCTTGAGATGGCTGCCACCTATGGGTCAGATGATTGCCTGCCACCATTAAGCAATTGGTAATTAAATATAATTTATTTTTTCCTAAAAAGTGTAAAATTTTGGGGAAAAAAAATTCACGAAAATAAATTGTCACGCACAACGAGTCTGTGTGCAAAATGTCAGCTCGATTGGATCACGGGAAGTGGGTTAAAAAACGACCGAAAGATTTGCACGGTCGTAAGCGCGCAAGCAAGCAAGCAAGTGAACTTAATATAACGGATTTAAAAATGGGAGCAATTTTACACTGCTTCCTCGCGTTCGATGCAGTCGATTCTTGCAATGCGATTTTGATTACGTAGCAAGATCCACCATGGCAGGAAAGGATGCTGTGTAATGAATAGCACGGTGGACTTGCAATCAATTCATTGGGGGTGGGTTACAAAGTCACGTGGACCGCGCTGGACATTTCCAAATTTTTCCAGAATACAAAGCTTCTATGCCGTAACATCTCAGCTCTTGGTCTGTTTTTTTGTAAATGTCCATGATTACGATCAATATGTCATTGCAGGAAATAGACACCGATTAAAACGCATTCTTCTTTCGATGCACTGTGCGCGTTGCTTTTTAATAAGCAAGATCAAGTTTGCTCTCACTTGCCTCATTAGTTGATCATTTATATCCCAGTTCGCGGTCGTGAATCGCCCGAGGCATACGTTGCGTGTGTTGTCACAGCTTAAATAATTGATATTAATTGATTAAATTGGTAGGGCCTTACTCCGGTGTATTTGTGTGTGAACATGTGCGTGACCGTCGGGAGCTGTATTGTCGTGGTTAACGCTACGCTGCGCTACGAACCCAGCCGTACGGGTTCGATTCCCACTCACGTCCAACACGGGTGATGATTATCTGAACCGGTCCTGGCTCTCCCCGAGGTCGACTCAGCCTTAAATGAGTTCCGGGCGCGGTGTGTCAACATCGTCACTAGGGAGACAAAGGCGGCCGGGCGTGGTGCTGACCACCCACCCCCTCGTGTGCCGTGCCAGCCTTCATAGGTGCTCGCTAACAGCACTTGCCCCTACAGTCTGTTAGGGCTGTAGGAGGAATCTTTGTCTTTGTACGTGCCAGTGATGTGTGCAATAAACAGACGGTCGGAGTTTCGGAGTTGTGCTGAACGGTGTAACCACGTGGGGAAACCTGTAGCTCTTGCCACGTGTTGTTAGATACACCGCCATATGGTACAATTATGAAAATACGGTGATGTGAGTGATGAGATCAATTGCCCTTTTCATCATGCCTAATCGGCTAATGCGCATTTGTTCAATTGCGAAATGAAATGTCATTTAATCCATCGCACAATAGGTTTTCATCATCGACATTATTTTATTTCGGCAAATTAAATCAACACCCCCCCCCCCCCCGTTGTCTGCGCTGGTATTCATTTCATTATTCGCCATAATTCTCCGACGGAGCGCATGCTATGGGATAATCGCTTCGCCCTTGCTTAAATTTACGCGCGCGCACTCACACACACATGCCGAGCAGAATCAGAATATGTATTTAACCTGGAGGAATCCGATGACCCATGAAGCTCTTTTTCACAGATGTCCTGTAAGGGGGGGGGGGGCACGGGGCGTCGGCAAGTTACATCAACAAACAATCCTTTTGTTTAAACTACGTAACAGCAAGATAGAGAAAAAATACGTAAGCAAGTTGCGATGAATAAATTTAAAGAACATAAATAGAAAGTAATTCAGCGCTTGCATGTACACGGTGCTTCAAAACAATGTTAACACTTACGGGAAAATAAAGGATAATACATTGTAACATACTTCAGTTGAAGCTTTCGTGACTGCAGGAATTACTCTTTGGTTCTTTGGGTAAAGTTACGTAGAAAGAAAATAAATTGAATAATAGAATACGACGTTTCGATTGCAACACAAGCAGTCATCATCAGGTAGAACTACATTTGAGAGATTCTGTGTGTCGATGTTGTGTGTCTCTCTCTCTGTGTGTTTCTGTGTTGTCTCTCTTTGCTTGTGTGTCTGTCTGTGTGTCTCTGTGTTGTGTGTCTCTCTCTGTGTGTCTCTGTGTTGTCTCTCTCTGCTTGTGTCTGTCTGTGTGTCTCTCTCTGTGTCTGTGTGTCTCTCTCTGTGTGTCTCTGTGTTGTCTCTCTCCGCTTGTGTGTCTGTGTGTCTCCGTGTTGTGTGTCTCTCTCTGTGTGTCTCTGTGTTGTCTCTCTCCGCTTGTGTGTCTGTGTGTCTCCGTGTTGTGTGTCTCTCTCTGTGTGTCTCTGTGTTGTCTCTCTCTGCTTGTGTGTCTGTCTGTGTGTCTATGTTGTGTGTCTCTCTCTGTGTGTCTATGTTGTGTGTCTCTCTCTGCTTGTGTGTCTGTCTGTGTGTCTCCGTGTCTGTGTTTTGTCTCTCTCTTAAATTTAGTTCTACCTGATGACGACTGCTTGTGTTGCAATCGAAACGTCGTATTCTATTATTTCATTTATTTTCTTTCTACGTGACTTTACCGGCAGAACCAAAGAGTAACACTGTAACATGATAACAAATGTAACGTTAATAGCTTCAAAAAGTCAAAGAGTCTCCACTTGTTCACCATCATTGTCAACACGTGGCCTGGAATCTTCTCCACGTGGTCTCCAGAGCCCGGAGGCAGCACTTCTTGCGGTAATGTTGCAAATTGTCAGAAGTGTTAACATTTTTTGAAGCACCCCGTATTTGCTTCTGTTCTCGAGAACGTCGCCAGCTCACGTGAAGCTTCCCCAATGACGGGACTGGGCCAGCGGTCGGCCACCAACATAACAAGAGGCAATTTTTATTCGAATTCGGTTAAAGCAGCAACAACAAAAAACCCTCAATATCTCAAGAGCCACAATGCAGTGTTTGGTGAATACGAGAGGGTGGTCCTTTATAAATAACGGTCACGAAGCTGTGCCTAGAGAGAGAGAGAGCCGCATGCGGCCCCTGAGATGCTGGTTGCTGACCCGTGCACTACAGGGCCTAAGAAGGGGTCATTTAAAGTGTGTCATCAACAATAGGTGCCGTGGCGCAGCCGTCCGCGAAATGATACACCGGGCGAAACTAATGGCCATCGCTCGAACGCCCGACTCTCATAAATCCATCCGCACGAGATTCAAGGGTGATTGATGCCAGTTCGCTGGTGGTGGTGGTGGCGGTGGCCCTTAGGGGCTTCAGCTGGTGCATCTACCGGTCATCTCAGGTCAGCCAACCCATGGCACCTGGGTCCGTCCCGTGACCTGGCCTGGCACAGGCGGGTGGCGGGGTATTGGTATCGGTTGTGGCGGCGGCGATGCACGCGGCTGGCTGTAATCCTGCACTGTGGGGGGCCAGCAGCGAGGGACGGTGGAGTCACTGCGCACATCACGTTGCGAAGCTCCCGCTCCATTTGCCATGAGTGGGTGCCCAGGATGAGACCGCGGGTTTCCTGGTTCGCCTGGAGAAGGCGGTACGGCAATGTGGAACTCCACTTGTTCCGTCTGTGTGGGACAGGGGGTGGTTTTTTTCCCTTCCTCTCACGCGTGAGATTTCTCCGGCTGCTCCGGTTTCCTCCCCGTCACACGCAAACGCTCGTTTAATTGGCCGCTGACACCTTCATAGGCAGAGGATCGCAGATCTTGGACAATTGTTGTCGCTGGCTCATCGCGTGGCTTTGCTACCATCCTGCTCGTCCGTGGCTCCTCCTGGTTCCTCTTGAGTCGTCATATATCTCTCTGTCTCTCTCTCTCGCTCTCTACGACAGTGAGCGAATACTGTGGCGGCAGAGCGTTACAGGTTCAAGCTGTTGATGTTGTTATTATTGTTGTTGTTGTTTGTTCCACGTGGAAGTTAGGGAGGCGACGCCTCGCTTAGCCAAGCTCGTTTCTCGCGCACTTGGCGGCTCGCATGCCCAGGGGTTGTTGCCGGCTGGCGAGAAAGCGGCGGGCGGGCGGGCGGATTGACCGGCAGGATGAGAGTGAATAATTTAAAAGGAAGTGGAGGTGGGAGCGTTGGGGTAGGGGACTGTGTGTTGGGGTGGGAGGACTGTGGAGGGGTGTGTGTGGGGGGGAGTGTGGGGGGGTGGCCGTGTGGGGGGGGGGGGGTGACCGTGCCAATCAAGCCACAAGTCCTGGTTCTCCAAGGGATCTCGGCACGTGAAGGTTTCATTTTGCGCGCTCACTGTGGCTTGGCAGTGTCCTCTTTCGTGGCGAGGCTCACTTGTTTCACTCCCTGTGCGCGTGCTCTGCTGTACCGTCGTCACTTGTCTGCGTTTACTTTCTGGCAGTAAAACAGGAGGTGTTAAGGTGTTC